AATGCAACATTCAATTAAGATTATTGAAAGCACCTGCCATATGCAATCCACTAAATCCAAAATCATTCGCCTAGTATATTCATACTAAGTAATCATAACAATAATAATAATAATACTATTAAAAATGTTCGCTTATAACTGCTCACCTCACCTTTACACTCCATTAATTGCGCATAGTCAACAGTGGATTGTTGCTTTTATAGTCGATTAATCCGTTATGACTAGTTGCTTCAATCCCAGTGAAATCGGTGACATTATTGGTATTATTATGCGATAATGGACACAATTTACTTGGATCAATCATATTTATATGTTTCTGTTGGACTTTGCATGAACTGAACTGGACTACTGCTAGTTTATAGCAGGGATCCGATGGTATCCGATCGATCATTGGTTCGATCAAAATCTGATCGAATTAACTTTTCAGATTCTAAAATTCGGTATTCCGTCAGAAATTCGAAAATTTTCGACCGAAATCGAACCGACATATCATTTTAAGACTACAAAACTCGGTATTCCGATCGAGCATCAAATTTTTTGTCGTAATCCGAAACATGATAGAAATCCATCGGGTTTTACCGAGTAAACTTCAGTCGCTTACCACTGCTATTATGTACCGACTGTTTCAATGCAAGACTATTTACAATGGAAGCTGAGCCACCATATTTGGGTGGAAGCTCAACTCGATGATCGTTTTATCAAGTTTTTATTTGGTCGACCATCCGGCCGGCAAAATTTGATACATGGGTAGTTTCAGTGAAATTTGTTTGACTCAAAACTATTGCTAAGAGAATCCGAATGGTCTTTAAGAATACGTGATATTATTTGAGCCATAAATAGCCTCTGAAGCAATTTTGACGTAAATGTGGCTTTTTATGGGTATATTGTGTGTATGACATTCATATGGCATTTAAATAATACACAAAGCATTAAAAATGTACGCAATGACATTATGGCTTATTGGTGCATGTGATTGAGTTCGTTAGTTTTTGGAATGTCACTTTAGATGGCTCGTTTAATATGCACCATTGACTACTGCGTTTAAAATCATACACACTTTTTAAATTCTATGTTAGCATTGCTGTAAATACTTATTTTTTACACTAAATACCATTGCACTCATGCTCAAATGTCATATGATCGATCGGATCAACGTAGAATTTTCCAAGCAACTGATCAATCTTAACAAACCGGTGGAATTTGGCTCAATTTGACGACATTTTCGCTATATCCATATCCACAACAAAACACTCATAAAACACTTAGTGAATACACTGCTGAAATGAATATTGCTCTGCTTTCATATATCTTAATAGCTTTCATATCCAGTGATATCCAGGGGCTGGCTTAAGATTGGGTGANGGCTGGCTTAAGATTGGGTGAGTGAAATGCGAGCTTGAGCAGTTACTGGCCATCATGAGAAGTATCCGTCTGAATTTTTATATCCAAAGCAAATTTTCGACCGATGAGTCTGGAAGTTGGAGATTTGCTGCTCGAATCATGAGTATGAATGAGTAGTGAATTTTTTTTCAGTTTTTTTAAGAATCTCCCATTTAATCAAGGATGTATTAATAGATAGCGAATATGCCTGCTGCTTGAATCCATAATCTTAAATTGCCCTAATTATTTGTGTGAAGGATTTAATCGTTGGAAATATGCCTCGAAGTAAATGCCCGAATCCTAAGCCATCTTATTCCTCCATCATTGGAGGTATTAAATCGTCGAAGTAGTTTTTTTTTTGGTTAAGTGGAAATGTTTCATTAATGAAAGCGTATTTCTGTCGTATCGTTATAGATGGAGGTCCCACTTTTCCTCAAATTAAATGTATCGGAATTTTTAGAAGCCTTATTGAGCGAATTCCGCACTAAAATACTGGATGTAAGTATATACGGTGATATTCCATAGACAAATGTTAATTTTTTCATGCAGTGACACTTTTNTTTTAGCCTCTAATTGACTTTTAAAGGCCGTTTCTCGATGCCGTTTCATGATGGATTGTTTGTTTTTTTGCTGTTGTTGTTGAAGGGTTGACGTCTATTGGCCAATTAGGACTAGTCGAGAACATGTTAAGGCCATATATAGCTGAGTGAAGATCGATTCGAATCGTTTTTTAAGCCGTTGTCTTCTATTAGCTTGAATTGGGAATTCATTTTGCTGAATGCTCACTAGACGAGTGCAACTGCTGAGTTGGTGTACGTAAAAGTATTTCAATTCTTTTAAGTATGACAGCTGTTTAAAAATGTCTCAAAATAAGTCTATTTTTGACTACTTGCTATAAATTGAAGTAGAACCATGAATAGAGTTTGACTGGATTAGAAGGACATCACTGTAGCAAGCGATTGATCCCCTCATACAAGCGATTCAGTCATACGAGCGATTTTCTATTAACGCTTAGGTTTTTTATTAGGCTTCCATATGATATCCTATAAGTTTGCCTTTACTATATGTATTAAAGATAATATGGGATTATGGGGAATAGATATATTGTCTTACAAATCAAATCTGTAGTATGGTTTGTGTGTTAATGTGATTGGTTCGAAAATGTGATCATTTGATGTGATCACAATGTGATCACATCAAATGATCATGTGATCACATCAAATGATCAAATGATTCGAAAATATTTTAATTTCTACAATACCGATGCGAAATTTCTAACGTGACTTGATCATGCGTAACCATTGTTAAGTATTGCTTAATGTACAAATTAAAAATTTTTCTCAGGTTCTTTCAAACTTCTCTGAAGAAAACACCTGGCTTAGGTGTTCAGCAGCATTATGGGTGAATGATTGCCGTTTGATATCGAACCAAATCAACTAAACAAGCAATGTTATCATCCCAAGTGTCGTCCCAAGCACCACAATCGTTAATCTTATATCTGGTTGAGATGCTGACAAGTTTACTTCTTTTACAAACCCAATTCGCGAATGCGCAAAGCAGACGATGCTTCCTGTGCTCAGATGCTAATATTGAAGTGGTAAGTGCCGTGTATTGGATGGTTTGATTTGAGCGGACACTCTTGTGAGGGGCTTGAGCTAGGTCTTGGCTCGTTTCTGAGTGACGATGACGATTGGGCGATTGCAAATGACTTCTTGTTGAGTGATGAGGGCGCTGTTGAAGCGGTCATCGATCACGATGATCCGCTGATTTGTTAGATACTAGAAGTGGATCACCGTAGTGCTTGCTCATTTTTTTAAGAAAAATTGATTCATCATGAGGAGAGAATGGGAAAATGATAAACGTTTATTAATCAAAGGCAGGATTTGACAGTTGTAAAGAATAAGTGAGGATTAATAAAGAAGAGAAAGAGATGAGAGTAAGAGAGGATTAAAGAAGGATTAAAAAGATTTTTAAGAATAATTTACGACGATTATTAAGATTTATAGGTTTCAGCTATCGTTTGATGGATGAGGAGTATTCAAACACGTGAAAAAAACAGATTTCAAACAAGAATAACCATCAAATTCAGTCGTGACCGCTCAATCTGCCTGCTAAAGACATTTTGCCTAAAGACACGTTGCCTAACGGACTGTTTGCCTAGGGAAAGTTTGCTTATTAGACGAAATATCCATTAAAAACTGTCCGTTAGGCAATGTGTCTTCAGATCATCCGGTTATCCGGTTGAGACAAGTTATCCGGTCACGAAAAAATCAGATTTCAACCAATAACAACCCCTAAATTTAGTAGCAAACAAACATTTCATTCCCATATGATATGCCCAGTCCTCATTATGGGTGTCATCAAATAATAACATTAATTTCAGCACTATGGAGCATTCTTCGATAATCCACGTGAGCTAGAATGGGATATATTCT